AGGAATAAATTATTTAAAGCTAACCAGAGGGCCTGGCATGCCTTGTGTTCCCGGAGGTCCTCTCATCCCTTGTGGTCCTCTTGGGCCCTGATGTAAAAAGCCATTGAAAAAAAAAATGTCAGTTCAATGTTGATAGCCTTTCAATGAAGAGTAGATTGCTGCAATGACCAGAATTCAAGGGCCTGTTCAGCAAGCCATAATGCACAGGTGAAACTCTGGCTGCTTAGCTGTAGGTATTTGTCTGCATGAAGCAGCTGAGACAGTCACTGCCTTTGAGCTATATTCAGAGAGCCACTGTGGTGTCTAAGATACCAAGGGAGCCATAAGCAACCCACTAACAAATAGCATAACAAATAACAAACTTTCTCCAGATGCCTGTATATTAAAGTTAAGAGCATCTTTAGAGCATCTAAGAGCATCTTAAAACTGGAAGCTACTGTAAGCTGTCCACCACCATAACTGTCTTCAAAACTACTCCACCAAGCAAATCTTTAAAAAACACAAAGCTTTCCTCATTGGTTTTGTCAATCAGTCAATAATTTTCATCATTTTAATGTACCCTGGAAATACAGTACATGAAAAAATGCAATAGATTTTAGGTAGTTATTGCTAGCAATTTCTAACGAATTAATTTTGAAGATATCTGCTTGATAATATCCTGTAAGCTAGAGATGTGATGGTTAAATTACTTATTTCTGCTATTCACTTTCCTCTTTTCATTTCAACTAGAAGCTGCACCCCCATAAACCAAAAGAGAAACTTGCCACACTTAATTCCTCACAGACAAGATTTGCCAAGGAAGAATCTTACTCATAATACTTATTAGCTGAAGTAAACAAAGCATTCCAAAAGAAAAATAAAAGATTAAGACTGACAATTCATCTCCATAACTAACATAGAAACAACTCAGAAGTTCTTTTAGTTACCTGTGGGCCTGGAAGACCAGAGTCTCCTGGGTAACCTGCTTCCCCCAGATGTCCTTGCTCACCCTGCCAGAACAAAACCAAAAAAACCAGACAACCAAACCAAACAAATTACCACCTGTCATATGTACATCAACAGATAATAATTTCATATCTGCACAGAGTATCAGTTGATAGAATGTTTTTCAATGTTCCCAAATAGCTTTCAAGTAGCTTAAAATTCCTGTTGAAGAAAATTCAGTTAAAAAGTAAGAGAGTTGCGTAGCTTTTTTTGTTGTTTAGGGTGTGTGACGAATATAAAAGCTGCAGTGCAGGAAGTCAGTTCGATCTGCTTTGCGTTTCGCTAAGTGCATTTTATATCATGGCCTCAGCTGTATTCCTGCATTACCCTTGTCCACTGCAGAGACCATGAGAAGTTATAAAGCCAGGGCCACAAAGGCAGATCCTCCTCACCCTTATCCATGGAGAATTACTTTGAGGGGGAACCAGGACTTCACAATTCATCCTGGAATTAGATGTCTTTATACTCCCCATCTTTCACTCTGGTTACTCAGTGAGGCAAGTCAAATCATCCCTGATGATTGGGAAAAAAAAAACAACAAAATTTTTCCAGCTCCCATCTACATGAAGTTGCCATCTGAGGATAAGTCAGTTTAGCTGACATCCATAAGAAATACTTGCTGTCTGCTGGAGTGAGTAAAACAGTGACAATTTGCACGAGGACATTCCAGGAGAAACATTTAACTGTAGAAATTATAAACATACGTCTAAAGATACTCAGGAAACAGATGTTCTGGAAAGAATCTCCTGAGGAAAACTGCATTCAAAAGCTTGAACTTCCATTCTCCACCATATGAATGAAATGGAAGATAAAAATAGGGGAGATTTTTTTTTTAAAAAAGAGGCATTTGAGCAAGCTTATTTGTAGTCAGAGTAATAATACTGTAACACATAACATCAGTTAGTAGACTGTCAGGCTTATGCCAGCTGTGAAAAAAAATCATATAGAAATAGATTACCATAAAAATCACTTTGACTGCAATGAAAATAGACAAATTTCTTAGGCACAATCTACTAGAATTCAAAACCATAGAAATTTTTAAGCTACTTAAATTAACTTTGAATCAAACCCAGAAGAGTTGCTGTTCATTTCTTTTTTCCTTCCATTTTCCTCAGACAGCATTGTTGTTCTTGTCTCTGACAAGCACCTCTCTGAGGTTACATCACACCTTCTGTTCCTTCTACCTGCTGACTACTTCTGATTGTTAAGAATGGATAGCTGTCCTTCTTATTTTTTTTTTTTTTAACTATTTGAAAAAGTTAGTCTCCCTTTTCTCATAAAAAGCAATAGGTAATTTGATCTAGAGGTCCTGGGAAATTGTCCTTTTCACGATATGATAAAAAGCATTGTGTTCATGCTGACTGCAATGGAAGTTAACTTTGTTGTTGAGAGAGTTAGTTCAGTGCCTTTTACTAACACCTAAACCCTGTACCAGTCCTTAGGCATTAACTGGATGAACTCTGGCTCACTGCCTGTAATTTGATTATTTGTCCCTGAGTACATCAGCACCAATATCTATCTTCATCCGAAAGAGGGATTTGTTTCCATCTCATTCCATCTCAGGACAAAACCTTCCTCTTCTAGAAGGACTGGCCATATCATGCCAGAACCTGTGGTCCACAGAAGGGCCCTGAAAACTCTGCAAACATCACGGCTACACAGTTCTGCTTTCTGGCCCAGAGACACAAGAGAGCCTGCACAGTGAAGTTCTGATACCTCGTGCTGATAGAACTATGTCCTGTGGCAACTTTGCAACACACTGCCACGCAAGAGATCTCGGTAGGAGGGCTCAACACCAAAATCTTACCCAAGGATAAGGATGCCAGTGCCATATTACAGGGTTTATTGTTCCATCTAGTTCCTTCAGGACTTGTGGAGGACAGAAGAAGGTAATTCTCCTTGCCATTCACTTTTTACACCTCTTGAAAGAACAGGCTATTTACATAAGCTGTGCTCTGAACATGGGTTGGGACCAAGCTTTTAATGCCTACTAACCCATGCAAATCTTTTTTGTTATACTTTTAGAAATCAGAACTAGTCATCAAGTACTTAAATGAAAACAGTTTGGAAGTTCTCTCTTGCTGTGTGGTTCAGTTATCTCTTTTGTTGCCTACCATATCACAAATGGGTGGCCTCATCACTGGGGGAGGGGGCCCTCATGGAGACAAAGAGGGTTGTCTCAAAAGGTTCAACTAATTCTGCACTCTGTGATTTTACTAAAGAAGTTGAACATTTTTATTTTCTAACCAAAGATTTTTAGAGTTCAACAGCATCCAAATGGAAAATAAAGAAGGCACAAAGTTACATAATTACTTAAGAAATGGATTTCTGACCTATTAAGCAAGAATTAGAATTAAGAGGCAGGCTTGATGAATATTGTTCAATATTTTGACCTAAAAAGTCTGCATAAACCCTGTAAAGAATTTCTGAGATAGAAATAGGAAATAGCAACTATAAAATGCTTGTATTCTTTCAAGTTATGCTGATCCCTTAGAATAGCCAAGCATGGTGCTTTCTTCCTAGTGGCAGATAGTATCAAAATCTTCCAGTGTCTATTCCAGGGGTCCTCAAACTACGGCCCATGGTCCAGATACAGCCCCCCAGAGTCCTCAATCCGATTCAAGTTATGCTGATCCCTTAGAATAGCCAAAGCATGGTGCTTTCTTCCTAGTGGCGGATAGTATCAAAATCTTCCAGGGTCTATTCCAGGGGTCCTCAAACTACGGCCCGTGGTCCAGATACGGCCCCCCAGAGTCCTCAATCTGACCCACCGGTATTTACAGAACTCCCTGGCCCCCCACGCCGGGGGTTGGGGGGGGAAACCAAATAGCCACCGGGACTGGGCTGGAACCAGCACCTCATCCTCAACCTGCCCCCTGCGGCAGGCGAGAGGCCGAATGAAACATCTGAAATCTCCAGTCAGACCCAGACTGACTGATGAACACTGGCATCACTTGCTACGACCAGCAGTGACAAATATGGAACCCAACACTGACCATCTCATTAGCCAAAAGCAGGCCCATAGTTCACATTGAAATATTATTTGTTTTTGTTGATTACAATTGTTCTTCATTTTCAATATTGCATTCTTTTTCCTGTTTTTTGTGCACTACTACAAATAAAATATGTGCAGTGTGCATAGGAATTCGTTCATTTTTTTCCAAACTACAGTCCTGCCCCCGACAGTGTCTGAGGGACAGTGAACCGGCCCCCTGTTTAAAAAGTCTGATGACCCCTGGTCTATCCGTATCTGCGATACTCCAGATAAATTCTGGATTCTCAAAGTGAAAGCCAAATTGGGATTTTCAGAAACCAGGTGAGGCAGAGGTTTCAGCACAAGGCCTACTTGTGCATTTCACGAAGCTGGGATGTGACTGAACTGTAGTTTGGGGAACTTGCAGGACTTGCACTTCTGACTGTCATTTCCCAGTGAAAAAATAATTTGAATCAGGTTAAATGTAAAAAAAATCTGAGTTACCTGACTGCAGCACACATGAAGACAGTAGTAAAGGTATAGCAAAACTCTCTCAACAAGAGAGGGACAGGAAGCCCAGAAATGAGAGTCAAATCAAACACTGTGCTGCTGAAGAAATATTACTACCATAAAAGACACCTCACCCTGCCAAGTAACTTTTAGCGAAGAAAAAAAGGCTATGTTCTATATTGCATCATTATGGTTATTCTCACTGTTATTTATTAACATTTTACACTTGGCCTTCAGTTTAAGTGCTTGTTGCAGAAAAAGCACTCAATCCATGCAAAAGTTTCAGGAAAAATCATGAACTTTTTGGCCACATTAAGACAACAGCAAGCACTTCAATTTACGTACTGCATGAACAATTAAAAACATGAGAAATGTATCAAACTTATCAAACTGAGCCAACTGTTACCAGGTGTCCTCTAATAGCATGTTTTGTACAGGCTGAACACTTTAATTATTGTGGACTTTGATAAAGGAAATGGGGCTTTGGCACAGACTTCAGAACACTTCAAGTATGAGGACTGAGACAAAGAGTTCATACACTTCATGCTTTCTTCTCTTTGATACTAGGAATGCACTGGAATTGCAGGAGTATGACTTGGAAAGAAGAGATGGGTAAAGCTGGTCTGAATTTTGCCCTGGCCATGGCCGTGAGTGAAGAGTTGCATCGAACAACCTCTACTCTGAATGCTGGTCTGCACATTTATTCAGAAGCTGTAACTCTGCCCATTCCCAACACAGTGCAGGACTTCCAAAAATATTTCATCCTGCAGGTACTGACAGTGTCATACATGAAATTGTGATGTTTCCTTGGGTCTATATGCACTAAGATAAAAAGGGAAATGCTGTACCGAGGCATGTACCATCTTCCTTAACTGTGTTAGCAACTCTATAGAGAGACTGAGTCAAATGTCAACTACTTGTTGTGGAGTAATTGCTGGAGGTAACTAAAAATCAGAAAATGGCTGTGTTCCACACTCTAAGGGAAGTTACAGCGTTGAAGAAGATCCCAGGGGAAAAATGCAGCTGGTATGCCAGGAATTTCATTACATCACCTTCCTCTCAACTGTTTACTGGTACAGGAGATGGAAAAGAGTGAAGGTGCCTTCTCCAATTCCCGGTACCAGTCACAGTTTTGACTCCACAAGGCTTGATGTATGGTCTACTCATGATTGTGGACTGACAGCTGGCACCCCCTTTTTGACAACTTACCCCCCTTGTGGACCTTGACAAAAACCATAACCCCACACGACTGAGCCCCTTATTTCCCTCTCAGAGAGTACATCTCTAAGTTTTGGCAATTTCTACCATAAAAGGGGAATGGAAGTGCCTTTTGCCAATCACTGTAAAGGTATGGCTAGAGTCACTCAAGCTCCACCTTGCAGGTAAAAATAGTTTAAAATTGCTCAAAGAAAGGAGGGAACTACAGAAGACATCATCGTGGACCAGTCAGGGACGACCCCATCACAAGACCTCTGACTCCTGGGACCAGCCAACGGGCTGAGCCTTTCTTCGCCCGCATTGGGATGCCTTTGGGTAAGACTTAGACTTAGCTGAGGATTTCCCTCGGAAACTTAGAAAATCTCTAGAGAATCATTTTAACAACTTAGCCCTTTGTAGTAACTTGCCATCTTTTAACAATAATAGTTCTAGTAATTTGTAACCTTAGTATAAGCATTTATTTCTGCAGACAGTGGTTTATCACCAGCAATCCATATGAATCTGTATCAACCCTGTTGCTTCATTAAAGTGCTTTTATTTGGGTGTGGGTCACTATCGAGTGAATCTGGCACTGGTGTGCCTGGACTTGTGGTGTCCCATCAACTGTGTCTGTCTGTAACCAGCCACGCCAACCCTGTGCCCCAGGGGATGATGCCAAAGGCTGCAGGTTTAGCTGTGTGAGTCCGTAAATCGTGAGTATGGGAGTGCAGTGCACTATCAAGTGTGTCCGCCGTTGTCAGACTGGTAGTGCTCAATTGGGCATCACTAGGATTTAAGCCCAGCCGCCCCCAGCTCCTCCGGTTATCTGAGGGTGAGTTGGAATGCAAGGGGGTTCATGGACCAGTTAGAATGAGTCCAGAGGAGGGCCACCAGGATGATCCAAGGGCTGGAGCACCTCTCCTACGAGGACAGGCTGAGAGAGTTGGGGCTGTTCAGCCTGGAAAAGAGAAGGCTCTGGGGACATCTTATAGCGGCCTTCCAATACCTGAAGGGGGCCTACAAG